ATATATATATATATACACACACACACACACACACACACACACACACATACACACACACACACACAATTGCACTTTACAGTTGTTCATTCTTATTTTGTTGCAATGTAGTTAGGCTGTTTGAATAGCGGTTATTGCTTCAGAACCATCTGAAGAAGGAAATAGCCAATCTTGTTGACAGGTTTATCACTACCTCCATGTTTCTGTTCAGCTTTTGCATTGACCAAAGACAACCTAAGTTTGTTTCTTTCTGGAGGTCTTAATTTGCATGGTTGGGGGGAAAAAGCCTTGCTCAGGACATATCCATCTGTAAATACAATGTTTGCTGAGTTGAGGGTTACACTTGGTCTTTGAGTAGTATTCTAAAGGCTACACTCCCAAAAGTGATGGGTATGGCCAGGACAAAAACCATTTTTAAAAATGTTCATTTAATCAAATTTAAATATAACCATTTAATTATTTATGTAATGACTCTCCCTTAATAGCTTTCCTCTTCTGTCACATTAAGAATTACTGTGACATCTTTTGATAGTCTTTGGGGTCACACCAAAGGATGATATTTAGCTCTGGGGCTATAGGCTGGACAGTCTGACAGGGCTGGGTCTGTATTGGAGTCTTGCAGCTTGCCATTCACCATTGCCTTCAAGCTTGGTGTAGAACTATGGATGTCCATTCAATGGGACCATTGTTCAGTCAGCTCTGTTTTTAGAGATCTTCAAGACATCTATAATCATTTATCTTTTCTATCTGATTTTAATAATATACAGTAGTTTTAATGTGCATTTTATAGTAATGCAAACGTATTTATTTTGCTTTATGGTATTTAAATTGTTTAAATTTTAATATAAACTACCCTGAGTCTTTTGGAAAGAATAAATGTAGAATAAAAATAAAATTAAATAATTTGCCTCTCTTTTTCTTTTTGATATGCTGCTTTAAGTGTTTAATCAATAAAGGATTAAAGAGTTCCAGTGCCATTGCATATACTCCTTAAAAGATTTTGATTTCTTGAATTCTTTCCAAATTGGCATTTGCCAAATTAATGCCCGAAATGCTACTCATTTTTCCTCTTCTTCCATAGCGATGGGCATTTTTCACTCCTGGAACTTTGTATTATAATATACTTATATATTACATATTATATACATCTTTTTACCTGCTGAATGTGTTACTGTCAATGTTAATAATGAAGGCTTTAACAGCCATTTTTTTAACATTTTATTCAAATCAAAGACAAAACTGAAAGCCTTAGGAGAGAGAGACTGAAGTAAAGAAATCTGCTTTGCTACCAACAATTACAAGCTGAAATAAATTCATCTGAGCTGCAGTGTAAGAGCAAAATAAACAAACCAGAGTTTCAAAAGCAATTATCTGTAAGTCTGTTATAAAAATTCAGCTAATTTAAATGGTGTACTACAGAACTGATACTTAAGAAAGTAGTTCAATTTTCCTTTGAACATTATTAGTCAAAATCAGACCTCTTAGGAAAACAGGCAATACATTTTACCAGTCTATTAATCAGTCAAGATGATTGAGCAGCTCTGTAGGATTTCAAAACAGGATCTTCCCCAGTTATGCAAGCAGACTGAATCTGAAATTGAATCTGATTCAGAACAAATGCATATACCACAGTTAGAATATAGAATAAAATATAGGGGGCTTTATTTTTATGTAAACATGTACATGTTTACATAGAAATAAGGCCCCCTATATTTTGTCAGCTTTACTGGCTAGTAGATTATGTAATGATCTTGCAGCCTACATATGTGTGTTTTAAAGAGTATGCTACTTTACTCTTCAATGCCTAAAAATATAATCCTAAATATTATTGAAAGGGATTAAGACCCATCACATTTGACTGAGGCAAGGCCTTTTAGGATTGCATTATGATATATAATCTGAATAAGCAATAAATATGGTCAAACCGGATTACCTTTAAGGAGTAAAGGCATGAAGGGGATCTTTGGAGACTTCATTTTCTTGAATGCATCCCTATAGGCTTTGTGATTCAGAGAAGGATCCTGTTAAAATGATTTGACGCTATTAAGAAAAGCAGTTTGAAGTCAACTACATTTGTATAAGCTTTCCTTTAGATACAAAATATTTAGATACAGAAGTATTTTTTTCCTTGAAAAACAAGGCAGAAAAAGTTTCTAAAGAGGACTAGATGAAGTAATATATAGTCTTATCTGAAACATGAAATTTGTGTAAAGCTAAATGTTGAATGCAACACATCCAAAGTTAGATAATGATGCTTCCATTTACCAACAAAAATACATAGGTAGGGAAATTAAAGACTTTTCTATACAAAGCCCACTTACTGTCAAACTTTCAAGTTCAGCAAAGAGCTTCTTAAACTTTCCAGGCATTCTCTGCAATACAATACTGCATATTAAAATACTGGAACTGGAATCAAATACTAGATCCTATCAGTGACTCATTTGTAGTATATTAAAAATGAGACTTTCTCTGGCATTATCTTTCTTATCTTAGCATTCTTTGTTATAAAAAGTGTCTGAGAGTGACATAAAAGCTTTATAAGAACCCATATTTATTATTTAATACTGTTTACAAACACCTGAATCTGTATTTCTTTAATAATATCTTTGTAAGATTGATTTGTGTAGAGGAGGAGGAGGAAGATCATCATCAACCACATTATCATCTTTGTTGAAGAGAAAATGCTCTGATTGTTGATTTTACCACAGTAGCTTTACTGGGATTTCGAGGATGGAAAAAATCAGTGCTGTTATATTTGTATGATTTGATTCATCAAATGCAATTTTGCTCAACCAAAAAATATCAAGGGTGAAAATACTAGAAAACTGAAATATTCAACAGAAATATGTTAGCAAACACTTGGAACTCTTACAGTAATTATGCAGGAGAAGTGTCCCTCTCAAGCAAACTGGGCTCAATTAAGCTTTCTTAACTTATACTGGACTGCATTTTTTTAACTTACACTAATTTTGAAGTAATACTTGTACTTTGGAAGAAAATTTCATAACAGTAATACTGTACAAAATTAAATAACAGTATATTTCTATAACCAAGCTTCTGTCTGATACAACGTGTAACTTCCCAGGAATTAACATCTGTTAAATAAATGTATAGGATTTTCCATCGTGGTTCCAAGTCATGCAACTCATATTGAAGGGAAAACTTAGACATTATCAGCTTCCAAAACTGTATATAAATTTTGTTTAGGATTTATTTCCTTAAAATAAGGTTTCTTAAATTTGTTGTTTCAATATCAATAACATTTATGAGAAATTCAGTAACGCTTGCCTGTAGTTAAGTGCAACTTCTTTTTCTTGTCATATATACCATAGTGCTGAAAAACAATATGATTAAAAACAATTACCTAGAAAAAGAAATAAAACAGTAAAACTCTCATATTACCTCCCATGTCTGAGAAAGCCGGCTGACAGAGGCAGTGTTGAGTCCCATGACAATGGCAAAAAATGAATTCAGATTTCGTTGGGCTTTGCAGCTATGAAATAATATCAGAACAATAATTTACTTCTGATGTTCAAAGTTACATAACAACTTGTTGTTTAAAATACAGACTGTTGAATTTATAGAATATTGGCGGGGTTCTATTTTTCAGATAAAATGTATGCAAAGCTATTATTTTCCAACTTCATGAATCTAAACTATGTAAACTTGAAGGATTCATTCAATTTTTTTTAACTCAAAGGAAACACTGCTCCATCCTTTGGAAATTACCCCATTATTGTGATAATTCCAAGCAACACTATTTAAAATGCAGATTAAAAATTCAAAGTTATGGATATTCACAATAGAAAGAGCACTTCCGTTTTCTCTAAACTGCCACTCATTAATGTGCAATTTCTTCTTACAGTTATATATACATTACACACACACACACACACACACACACAAACACCTTGGCAAATTAATATTCTCTAGCTACACAGCTTGGATTTATCTAAATTAAATCTTTCTCCACTGTTGCTTGCACAAAGCTTTGCAATGTTAAGAATACTTTTCATGTGTTCTGCATCCTTCAATAAATTCTATAGCTTCTTATTAAAAGTTTAGTTAACGTGCAACCAATATTTTCTACCAATTATTTATTATTGATTATAATCACATTATGATGACCAGACAAGTACTTTTCTGGTATTTATACAGATCAGATTCTATACAGCAATTTTAATAACAATGATAGTGCTGTCTGGTTGAAGAATCTCATTATCTTAATGGAAATGTTCAGTTTATCTTGTTGGAATATATATTTCTATACCAGAAATACTTGCTCAAAAATTTAAATATGGACATAATATGCAAGTATCAGTTGCACATGACATCACACAATTAATGTTATGTTAACTTACCTGCAAGTTAGTAAAGAAGCTAAATTTTTAAACTACTAATTTTTAAGTTCTTACTCCAAGTATGCATTTGTTTTATGATTCTAATATATTCTGCCATGTGTAATATTTCCAGGACAAAGTATAAATGTGTTATGTACTTTCCTAATTTGTGGGAAATACTTACAGAACAACTTTTGTCTGGATATGCAGTATATTGTTTCAACAGAAGGTACCTTTACTGAGTAAAGACGACAGCATCTTGACAGTATTTTGAATACTATTATAAATTATAATTATAGTTCCATTAGGTGGGCATCTTGTTATTGTTTAAACAAATAATTTGAATGGGGCTTAAATAATTTTTGAATATAATATGACTAAATACAGTTCACTGAAAATGTATATTAAGATTTTAATGTCTATCTTCCAAATACAATAATAAAAATATATAAAAGACTTTTGATGTTCAATTTATGATGCTTAGTTTCAAATTTTCCCAAATTCAAATAACATAGTTAATTTTTTTAGATTCTTGGCTAATTCTTATCTGTGTATACTGTATATTACAATGTCAATCTTGGAAATATGGTAACACAAAATCAACTCCACCTTAAATAATCAAATTTGATAAATACACAAAATGAATTTGTTTCCGTTCATAAAGTTAATATTCATATGAACAGTGTCTTCATGTTTGTAAGCATACTGCTGAGAAATTCATTTTGTACATTTGGTAGTATTTAAGTATAAAACTGAAAGAGACCATGAAGAAAGTTAAGGGGAATTAAATGAAATGAAACTAATATACCTTAATAGTAGTAATAGTTCAGTGAGACTTTGCTTAGTATCACTGTGTGTACAAGAATAGAGTTTCAAACAGAGAAGCAACTGGAGAAATAAATCATGCATATACAGACAAGTGAGACTACAGTAAAGTATAAAAGAATTATCAATGTGCAGCAAGTTTTAGATATATAGTTCTTTTAATCAGGCATAGCATTTTCTAGGCATATTTCAATGGACAAAGCAAAATATATAGAATATTTTATTTCATTATCCCTGGCTGAATGTATTCAACAGGAACCAGCTATTAATATTCATATAATTTTTAACTTACTGAGCAGCAATTTTAATGAACTTTTTCACTAGCTGTACACGTTTACAGAGCTGGTTGCAAAGTAGTATTTCTGTGGCAACCCAGAGTTGAACTTCATTGCATCTTTGAAGCAGAAGACTAAGATTCACAGTGTTTTTCCCACTGCCTTGTCGGCTGAAGGTAAAATATATCAGTTCTTGCTGGAAGACAGTTAAAAAGCATTTAAAATGCAAATTAGAATTTAATAATCTGAAAATGTAACTATTGATACTCAGTCAGATAATCCATTTTAGTAACTTATGAATAAATCTCTAGCAATTCAGAAAGTAATTTGGCGGTTACTCTTTTAGTCAAAACTATGAAAAATGTAATATCAGATTGTGATTTAATATCCATTAAACATCGTTGGTTTCAGTTTGAAAAGCTTTTGAGAATTGGATGATATCTGTTCTTCTTTGTCAAAGAATACACACACACACACACTTGGCAATAAGAATTTTTTCATTCAGCAGTTGAAACTATAACGATTTTTATTTATTTACAGACAAAAATAAATTATCAATTTTAAGGAAAATATTTAGGAGATTTGTGTGGTATGGCCCCAAAACAATTACAAAGAAATAATTACATGAAAAAAACATGTTGCAATCAATCAAAACTAAACAAAGCACTGTTCATACTATGCAAATTCATTATCTTACTTCATGAACCAAATTGAAAAGATTCCAGTCAAAAATTGTTAATTCCAAAGCAAGGTCCCAGGTGTTAATCCCCAGAATTTTCACTGATCGTTGCTGTATTTCCTCATTTTCAGCAAAAGGGATCTAAACCAACAGACACACAAAAAAAGAAGCATATGCAACTTAAAAGTCAGCTGCAAAGAAATGTTTTAAACATTTTTGCCTTGAAATCATTATGGCCTCTAAGACTGAATGAATTTTAATATTAAGAGCAGCAGCATATGTCTTATTACGTTAGGTAACTCCATGAAGATAAGTATCTGTATTTATAGCTGTATCTAGATACACAAAAAGACAATAATCAACAGGATACCTGAAGACCATACTGAAATGAACATCTCAAATAAATTTGGCATACCCAATAAGATTTTACTGCAAGTAAACTAGATTTTATTTCTAAGACCTAAACCAGCATACAATATATTACTGTCCATGTAGTCAGTATGCCTCCATACAATATTCAACTTTGTAGACTTCTTGGACATGTTGGTTCTTTTTTTAAAATGGCTAAATCTAAACATACCCACCAAATAGTATTAAAATAAAAAAATTGTAACACCAAGAAATAAACTTCTTAATTTGTAGTGGTATTTTAATAATTAATCAGTTCTGAGTTTAATCAAAAATTTACTTTTTTTTTTTTTTTTATAAAACAGTGATATTTTGTAAGAAAGCAAATTATTCAAATGAAACTAATCATGTGGCTCTGCTCTGCATCAGAAATATATCACACCAAATTCAACTGAACTTATTCACAGTAAATGTGTACAGGTATCAAAATGCCAAGGATGGGCCAGAATCTCCAAGTAATATTTCCTTCAATACAGTTGTAATAACAATTCTTCTAATGTGGAATGCCAGTTTCTATTTGAAGTAGCATGCTTTAAGAGCGATTTAACTATTCCACAGGAGTCACTTAAAGCAAACACTTCAGTAATATTTAAAAAGATACATTTCCCCATATTCACTATCATATCATATATCATATCATATCAATGAAGATTTTATAAATGCATGTCTTAAATCTTCATAATAATTCTTACTTTATATCAGAGTTTCTTGATTGTAAATACTTCAGGACAATAGGGAGTCTGAATTTGTGCAAATATTTTTGAAATATGCTATAATAAGGGAGAAAGGCACCCTCAGGGTCAAACCAGTCCCTCTTCTGAGGTCCTTTGGTTCCGAGGTAATTCACCTCTGTAGGTGAACAGTGACTGGGAAATGAGGTCTCCTTGCTGCCACACCCCCCTTCACTATAAAACATTTTCTCCTTTCCTCCCTAACCCTCTGGAGCACCAGGAATTGACTGAAGGGGAAACCCTCACCTTACCTGGGTCTGGCTAAATACAGGAAGGAAAATCAAACAAGAACTTTGGGGAGTCAATAGCTCAGTCAAGCTGAGGTGGATGATAGAAGGCAACCGGTGAATTCCAATTTTATTAATAACTCAATTTTATTAAAGGTAGCAAAAGAAATTAGGTTTCCACACATACAATACAGAATTAAAAAAGATAAAATACAAAAAAAACAAAACCTTAATGCAATTCTAACTATAGCAAAATAACTTTCAACCATGCCTGAGGTAACCGCTTTATCCAGCCAATGCTGTCACACTTCCCACCCAAAACCTGAGGGAACCCCCTTCTCCTCCTTTACAGGCAACTCCCAGAAGTGACTCCCTCTGGGCACCTAAGGCTGGTGGGTTCTTTGAAGCACCAGCTGCCACTACATATGCAATGTCACATATAAATAGAACAGGACATTTAGTTATCTATGAAACAGGTCTATCCAAATCCAAACATTTTAAAGGGGCAAAAAACTATTGAATCAGCCTTCTTCCAGATATCCTGAATTCAGTCCCTGAATTCCCCAGGCAGCACGGTTCATGATAAAATTTCTGGAATTAAGTCCATATATCTGGAGGGCACACAGGCTGGGGAAAAGTGGTCTAGGTAATGATTTTCCTAGTCTTTGTTCATGCTGGGATTGTATGAGAGTAATATTTTTAATCCAATTTAAATTTAAAACTTCAAAGCCACCTAAAAACAAGAACCACAAAGACTTACCAAAGTATCTGTCAGATCCTTTCGAAACACAAACATGCGAGCAGACAACTCAAGAGATTTGGAGATTGCCAGATCATTTGGTTGCAATTCATGCTTTTCTTTAGGAAGGGTGGGAAAAGTATCGTAGTAAGAAATTAAAATGTATTTTTAAACTAAAATCTAATATCTTCATAAGACTGCACAGGAGTGAAGCTTCATATTCAATTTTTATTTATCTATTTTCCTAGGCTAGAAAAGGCAAGTGCTGAATTCAGAGGAGCATTTAATAATCCAGTTATTGTACTATCCAAGACTGCTGGATAATTTATTTCAAAGAGCAAAAATTCAACATTTTAAAAACAACAATTCATTTTTAGAAATTGGTATATGAGTTCTAAATTAAGCATTTAAAAACTTTTTAAAATATTGCTTATAATATTTCGCAAAACATTCATTTTCTGGAAGTAGTATGTCCCAAGGTTTTTCCTGGTTTTGCCTTCATATCTAAATACCATTTGGTTACTTCAAAGAAGGAATCCATTTCCCAGGGTGCATTTTTGTTATACAGGTAGTTTTAGATTATGAACTGGGAGAGTTATCTGTAAAAGCAAACCTTACATGTTTCTGAACAAGAAAAGTCCTTTGCAATCTAAACATCATATGGAATGCATTATCCAACAGAACTGAAGCATTAGCAGTTGTCATGGAAACATCTTTCTGCTGAACAGCTCCTTATTATAACTATGGTCATCCAGCTGTGGACCCATTGGGGAAGAAACCTACATCTGCATTAGAAAATACTTTACAGATAAGGTACCAAAAATGGTATTTAAAAAAAGGGGGGGAATATTAATAGCTGAAAATCATTTACCCTCAGAGAATGAAAGAGCCACTAGAGCCAGATCTTCTTGAGAATGCTGAAGCTTCTCTGCTACAATTTTCAAAATCTCTTGAACTGAAGTGGATAATTTAGTTTTCACGCTGATGTAAGAATGTTCTGTGATATACACATGGCAAAAAACTGCAAAGAGAGAAGGAAAATAATTCCATCAACAGAAGAAATTCTTATTGAAAACTGTAAAAACTTTAATGATTGCACTGCTTTAGACTGAAAACTAGCTTGCCAGTCATTCTTTGATAAAAGAAACTATAGCTGCTATACTCTGATCTTCAAGCAGATTCGCTTTTCCCAATCCAAATCTAATATTATAATTAATCCTGTGTAGGACTAACTGTACAATACCTAGTCGTCAAACAAAGGACAACTTGCTCAACCTGAGAAAACTTCAACTTCTGACTGTCCCATTTTATTGACTCCATTTCTTCAAAGATTTCTAGTGTACAGTACCTCTCAGACCAAAGCTGCCCACAAGTGGCTTAAAGAAATATTTGAAACACTAAAATGAATAAAGTGTGGTGGGCCTACTGAAGATTAAAGCATTCCAAAACTGAGGGAGCATTCTTCAACAGATACTCTAATCCCTATACTCAGCAATCAGGGAGCCATCACAGTAATAAGTGGTGTTATTACCAGTACTACTGCAATAGTAGTAGTAATATTTCTACCAGGGAATCGAAGTGAAATGTGGGATAGGGATTACTATACATAGGGGTGCATGTATATGTATGTGACCATGTCGTATGAATGTGTGATTCTGGGTTTATGTGTTGAAAGAGTGTGAATATGAGAGAACTGTTAAACTGGATTTTTTTTTTTTGCTCACATAATTTATATTAAATCTAAGAATCTATTAAATTTGTCAAATTAAGGAAGGCTGTGGTTGTTAGTTTTCCTATATAATGGTATAAAATACACATGGAGGTCTTTGTTCCTATAACACTTCTTCACCACCAAATTGTGGAGGAACAAGGTCACAGGTCTGGCATTTAACAGAACCAACCTGGCTCCAAAATTCAGCACCAAGGATCTTGGATTGTGGCTGGGAGAATGGGGGAAAAGATGGAACAGGAATCAGGTTCCTTCCTTTCCAGTATTTTTGCAGAAATAGTGGATGCTGTTAACACTTTCTTTCATTCTTTTTGTTTGATTCATACTTACCTTCCTCTGTTTCATTCACAGTTTCTCTGTTCTGGAGCCAGTTCTCCTTGAGGCTGAATTGATGTAAAATGGCTTTATGCTATGAGAGAGTTAAAAAAAGAAAAAGAAAAAAAAAGAATGCCAAAATTGTTGGGTGTTTTAAAAAGGGGAAAAAAAAAAAGAAACCCATACTGTTTTGTCTAAATAAACTAAACACTATCTGTTCATGGGAAACAGATGTGAAGATGAAAAGACCAATGTGTACATGTGAATACATTTTATGAGAAATTTCACTGAAACCTTATTTTCTGCTTCTGATACCTATGATTGAAGTCATATTTGAAAGCTGATTATATTAATCAATCAACCCAGTGAATTTTCTGATAGGAACACATTTCCACATTCATCTCTCTAAATTTGTGAATACATTACTTACACAGGTACAAACATATACACTCTTTCTTTTTGTCACCTAACATTTGCAATCAATATCTTTGTCCATATTTGCTAGTAAAAATCCATTTAGATTCAAAACTATCTTTAGACAGGGCAGGAAATATTACTTGGCTTCTGCTCAGCGCATGCCAACTAACTAAACTTTAATATTGCCACAGGCACCTTCTCTTTGTTTCTATGCTTGGAAGCAAAGCCATACCATCTCTAGCAAGCAGTTTTAACAATGCCAGCAGAACAGTGTAGCTTGCCTATTTATTTATTTTGGCTGTTTGTTTTTATTAATTAAAAGAATTTAAGGCAAAGAAAAATGAAGTTACTAAGTTACAATTCAAATAATAATAGTATTTTTTTTTGTATTACCTTTCTGTGAGGTGAATATTCATCTACTGTGCTGAAAGAAAGAGTAAGTACATTATTCATTTTTCTAATACAAAAGCTTTCAGCATTGATGTAGATCTCTACTATAAAAGGGACACAGAATATTAATGGCTGAGAATGGTCTAGAACCTGGACCTTCAGACACTACACCACGCTGACTCTAGTAATGTAACTATTATATATTACTGATTTTATTATTTATTACATGATATTATTAACTAGTAATCTGTAACAGTAAGTGTTGTGATATGGTAGGAATAATATTTATAGCATTTGCTTACACAAAAATTGCATTGCCTACCTGAAAACTAATCATTCCATCCTTACTTAAGGGTGAACAGGATTCCTTTTTGTCCAGTATTGTAAACACTCACTGGCAGGAAATCTCTGAATTTCAGGCAAGTTTTTCCAGCCCTACCTGGAGACGCCCTCCAATTTTATACTAAATACTCATTAAAATATATCAAAGATTATACAAAGTACACCATCTGTTCTTTTTTGGAAATATTTAATAGGAATTTATATATTTACATAAATGTAATTATGCAATTATGTAATTATATTTATGCAAATATAATTGTGTTTATATAATAATTATATAACTGCAATGTTTATGTGTCATGGGAGCAAAATGAATACTGACTTTTGTTAAAACATATAAGCCCTGTAAGCCACCTAGATTCTGTTGGTTTAAGTCAGTGGACAAATCTCAGAAAAAAAACAAAAAACGAACTGATGACACCATTGGAAATAGAAAGTTAACAGTCATTGTGCAATTGCTTGCTTTCAAATGAGGGAAACTGTTTCATTAAATCATGTTTGAAAGAGGTGGGAAATAAGATTTGTGCACAATAGTTCTCAAAACTGGTACAGATCACTCAGTATTCCTGCAGAGAAAATTAAATTTGTGCCCTATATTAAGCTCTGTTAAAGCACTCCCCCTCCACCCCTCACTCAGATAGTAATGATTTTTACTGCAACAGCCCTCTAACCAACTTTTCTTATAATACTAGTAAGAATGGAAGATTAAATTACAATAATTCCTCTTTGTGTATCAAAGCTATTAGTTAAAGATATACCCTTGTAGCTACATAAAATCAAAGCTTGCCTATACAAACATTAAATGCTTGAAACCATATAGAGCATCTGACATTACTTACTCAAAAAGAAAACAATTATAATTAGCAGAAAACTAATTATAACCCTCTAAAGGAAGAAATTCAAATTAGGGGGGAAAAACTTACTGACGACGATGCATTCCAAGTAATTTCTGGAATTCTTTCAGGTCTTTCTCCAGTATAGGGTATTCATACACATCATCTAACACATTCCTATATATTGTCTACGGAAGGAGGAAGTTGAGAGAAAAGGGGGAGGATAAGGAATCAAATAAATGTATGCTACAGCTTTTTGGTAATTCAGTTAAAGCAAAAGTTTCAAGTTGAGGTTTTCAGAGGGTTTAAAACAAAATTTTTAGCCCCCCTTTTTAAAAAAAGGGGTTTAAAAGAGCCAGTTTGGTATAGTGGATTAAGGCACCAGGCTAGAAACCAGGAGACTGTGAGTTCTAGTCCCGCTGTAGGCACGAAGCCAGTTTGGTGACCTTGGGCCAGTCACTCTCTCTCAGCCCTAGGAAGGAGGCAATGGAAACTACTTCCGAAAATCCTTGCTAAGAAAACTGCAAGACTAGTCCAGAGAGTCGCCAAGAGTCAAAAATGGACTGGAAGGCACACAACCATCAGTCAGTATTAGTTGTCTTGAAAGGCAGTCTCTGTACTATTCCTAAATAAAAGTCCTAAGTGTATCTACTCATACCTACGTCAATATTTAAAGGGACATTTCAGGATATTACTTAAAATCTGCAATCAATTTGGTCTTTCTGTCTCTCCTTAACATGAATATACAAATTCATCACCACTCAACTACTTGACAAAACAAAGTATAATAGCACAGCAGCAAGTAATTCTAACCATTTATGCTGTGCAGAATTATTAAAATATAACTGGTTCCACTCTTCTGTTTATATTCCTAAGTAAGTAATCAGTTTATTCAATCATTATTGAGGCAGAACACTCAAAATCACATGATTTCTAGGTCTTACAAGCACATACAATTTTTTTTGTTGGGAAGATGTGTTATTTTTTTACAACTAGCATATAACCTTGTCATACTTTTTCCAGGGTATTTCATAGTACATCCACTGAAGAATGGATAAAGATAAAGAATGTGTAAAGATTCTAATCAAAACACACCAGCAAATCTGGAGAAAGACACAGAGGCCAATAGATGGAAGAAGTCAATGTATATACGAATAAACAAAGGAGACTAAATAAACTGTACAAACTAACACATAATACCCTTAATTTCACATGCTACCAAAATTATGATTAGGATAATCCAATGCAGATTAGAGCCCTACATGGAAAGGGAGATGCCAGATGTTCAAGCTGGCTTCAGAAAAAATCAAGGAACAAGAGACATTATTGCTGATGTATGCTGAATAATTGAGAAAACCAAAGAATACCCAAAAGTAGTCATTATGTGCTTTGCTGATTATAGAAAGATCTTCAGTGTTGACTATGTTAAGCTATGAAATGTGCTTAGGAAAATGGGAATCCCAGAACATCTCATTGTCCTCATACAAAACCCATACACAAGTCAGGAAGCTACAGTCAGGAAGAAACATGGTGAAAAAGACTGGCTGCAGGTTGGCAAAGAAGTGAGACATTGCTGCATAGTTGCTCCTTATTTGTTCAACCTATATACTGAACATATATTGAGGGAAGCTGAATTAGAGAAAGATTAATGTTGCTTTAAAACTGGAGGAAGGAACCTCCATAATTGTGCTATGCTGATGACACTATTCTGATAGCTGAAAATACAAATCATTTGGAAGCTCTAGTAATAAAAGTCAAGGAAGTCAAGTGAAAAAACGGGACTATGATTAAATCTAAAGAAGACCAAATTAATGACAACCGGTAATCAACCAGCCTTATAACTGACAATAAAAAACTGAAGTGGTAGGTAGCTTCTGCCTTTTAGAACTGACTACCAACAGAAAAAGAATTAGCAATCAAGAAATACACTGGAGACTCTCTGGGAAAGGGGAAAGTCTATAATGCTGGTAAAGAAGGAAACAGAAAAAGAGGGTGACCAGCAGCAAAATGGACGGACTCAGTCACAGCAGATCTCAGGGACCAGCTGGGGACAGACTGTCATAGAGAAAATCTATCTATGTGTTTGCTAAGGGTTCACACTGATTTAATGGCACATAATCAATCAAATCTTATGACAACTATTTTATCATGTGTACTTTCCAGAACAGGTCAAGATTTATTGTTCCATTTTAATCATGTTTCTTTGTATGTAAGGTTATAATCTCATTTTCTACCCTTCACACCATCATGAAAAATTAAGAAAGGGCAAAGGATTTCATGCCCACTCCATGGACATTAGATAGTGAGATGTACCCATCATTAGAACACTAAATCCTCTGAATTCTGGAATCTCAGTTGCACATTTAGGTTGCTTAAAAGAGCAATTATTTGCAGGCTAGGTATTTTTCATCTGGAAGCACCCAGTAGAACTTTAGGAGATACTACATTATAAATGCTGATCTTATATCCCGTAAGTGGGCTTGCCTCAAATTTACTATTAAAGGGAACAGATTGCATAGACTAATGTAGAGTTTTGAAGTTTTTTATTTTATAATTGCCATACTGTACTGGAAAGTATTTAAGTAAACATACCTTAAGGAACTGCTTCAAATGCTCATCTTCATGCAACCAATCTTTGTAGAGTGAAGTCCATTGTGACACCAAATGCAAGACTTTTCGCTTTCTGCAGAGAACATCAAGAATTTCATCCTTGTCTTGATGGTTCTTAGCACAATAAGTATATATAAGTTAAGGTGAAATCTCAAAAATTTACAAAATTTTACCTATAATATTTATGTCCTGTTTTACTGCTTTTCACCCTGTTTCCTGAATATATTTTGCAATTTATGTAAGCAGTACTTTACTTTATTACAGTCAAAGACCAGTACAACTGAAAATGCAACAAAATATATCTAATTAAAAAATTCTTAGATATAATAATAGCAAATAAAATCCATATCATAATTATAATTTGGCAGCCTGGCTATCATTTATACGTGAAGTCAAGCAGCCTATACTGTAGTATATTATTACTCCTAAAATTATGACATCCTAAAGTTATTGTTAACTACTAAAATTACAACAGAATTATAGTATCTAAAATTGAAATGTGTTGCTTATGTAAAAATGTTTACAATAAGTTATTCATCAGATTCCAGTGGACCTTTAGTGCTGCTGCAGAGAATCTAGCTACCTGCGCCGTGACTATAATCTGTTCGTCTTTAAGCAGAAACTGTAGATAGTTGGTGCCAGAGCAGCCTGGATACCTATTAATCATCAGATAAATAAATTTTGTTCGAATGTCTCTATAGAATGAGCATCAAAGAAGAACGTGTCTGGTGGTTTCTACCTCTCCAGAATCACATTTCTGCCAATGGTATCTTTTTATATTTGCCATCCAAAACAGCTGAGAGGAGCGCATGGCATCCTGCAAGTGAGAAAGCTTTCCGATGATTTGCTGACTGATGACTTATTTGATAAATAAGTGACTGATAAATAAACTGGCTAAGATATCTGGCAGGATTAACAGTGTATCTGGTATAGTCTGGAGACAAGAACAATGGGACTTTCTCTAAGTCCACTTGCCTCTCTATGTCCTCTGTCCTTTGTCTCTGATTTTGTTTTGCCTGGTCATAGTCCAATTCAAGTACTGAGGAGGGAGAAAAGACTAGTTTTGCAAGGTGGGACTCAACAGCTTTAATCCATGAAGAGGAAAAAGGCCTTGAGGAAAAAAATTTAGCTTTAGCCAGAGGTTTAAGGAAGCTATACAGATTCTTGATTCAACTTTTGTCAACCCAGTCTCCAGACGTAGGTGTGCATTTGAAACACAGCAAAGCATTTGGAGAATTGCTCTAATAAATTTTGATTGCACTTTATGTAAGCAGCTTTGAGTAAATATTTATTTAGATAAAGCTTTAAAATATTATAATGAAAAAATCAAATATTCATTTGTTCCTCAATGATTCATATGTAATGTTTATTCAGTAATAATGAAAACTGTTTGCTATACACTGTGAAATATATGAAAGCAACTCCTCTTGCCAGATCTTAAAGCTTAAAATACAAAAGATAGCAGTTTCTTTCATACATATTTTTAAAAAAAAACTCTAAAAAGTTTTTTTCTATTTTCCCTATTTATATTCACTGCATTTATTAATACATTGTTGTATGTTTTAAATTTTCATTCCATCTTCTCTCCAAGGTAATTACTAGACCAAAACTGTGCTTCATATAGCACTGTCAGTGCAATTCTCAAATGATATTAAGCTGTTTATACCTGCTGAAAATAAAACTAATGGCTATATTATACTCCTGTACACTAAATAAAGAAGGTGGTGTCATTGATAAAAGGACCTATTGCTACCATTTTTTTATTCAGGAGCACGGAAGTAATTATTTTGTACTCCTAAATCTGTTCTCTATAATCACGTCCACTGGGATGTCTGACACTAATACAGAACATTATTCAAGAATAATTTAATGGCAACACTAACCCCAACACATTCACCTCTGTGTGTGAATAAGATCTGAAAAACCTAGCTTCAAATCTCAAATCAGTCATGAAACGGGCAAGCCCACCTCACAGAGTAGATGCGTGCACAGATTAGGGTAGGAAGGATCATGTATCCCACCTTGAATTTCTTGAAAGAAAAGGATTGTTGTTGTTGTTGTTAAAATTTATTGGCCGCTCATCTCCAGTGAACTCTGGATATATATTTCCCTAGTGCTGTGGAAAGAAGTGCTGAAATTCCGGCCACACTCAACATCTTGTGGAAAGCTTCTTCTAAATTGGCATGTACAATTTCCTGGTTACTGCATGCGTCTGGCTGGCTGTCTTCCTTCCTTCCTGTCATAGACCACCATATGCATTGCATTTTTTTCTTTTTTATCTTCCTTCGTACAGTTGATTTAACTTTTTTTTCTCCTTGAAACTATGGCTCAACTGTCATCTGTCGGACCTGTCAACCACTAGACAGTGACAGAAAAAGTTACAAGTTTAATTAATCTTTTTGCTGCCATGTGGTGGTCATCCAGTTTATGCAGGCACAGGACTATGCTGTTGAAAAGCTGGGATTTGAAACAGGGTTGTAGGTCTGAGAGCTATAAACCAGCCTAAGAACATGACATGAGAAGAACTGGAGAGTCAGGGCTCCTGGAAACAGGGGCCACCAGGAAGGGAATTCCCTACCAGGAAGACTACAGATGCACAAGATTCAAATCCTTTATTTACACTTCTAATTACATACAAATTTGTGGAATAAGAGGGAAACCATCACTTCTAGCATCTAAAACCATCCTCAAACTGCCTCAGCTTTGGATGGAAGTTGGGATATAAGCAGTGGTATATGGACATGTCTACTGGAACGATTAGTAAGTTCTCCTCAACAGGGGCAAAGAGGCTGTGTAGATATTTGCCTTATATCTAACCTATAAAGATCACTAGATACAATGAAGCCTAAATGGAATGATTCCATCTTCTTCCACTAGCGAAGGATATTGTCTCAGCAAAGCTTGACACAAGTCATCTGTTGTCATGAAGACTGTGTACGTAAGGAGGAAGTCATCCAGAAGAGTTTCTGCCAACAAAGCATAACAAAAATAAAAACCATTTTAAAAATGCACAAGATAACTAAAGTGTTATGTAGGCATAGTATTAATGAAGCTCAAACCATGACAGTAAAGAAGTCACAATAAAGTAACAGCAGAATTTCAGATAAATATATACATCTGAAAATGAAAACATTTCCAATTTTTGTTTTTAGCTTTCACTTTCTTCTTTCTTTATGGCACCATGTCTCTCTGAGTTGATAAGATCCAGGGAACAATATGTTGTCTTGATAATCTCTAGATTAGAGAGCCTAATTTGTATAGGATCTCATAAAAATGTTCAGGTTTGCACATGTGGCATAGTAACCAAAATGGGATCCAAATGTTTGGTATAGTCCTTGGCAAGGAATGCTGTATGTGGCAAGGATATGCCTCAGGCTGATAACCTAGCCTACATCTTCTGTATATTACTAAACACTTTATGTGAAAGCATTATGTGACTCAATCCTACCCCTACCATTATGGCCCCAACTTCCTCAAAAATAGTTAAGTGCATCTCCAGCCTACCAAATGATTGTCCACCCTTTTCCCTTTTGGCTTACATCTAAACCCAGCAAAAAATTGTCTTTCAAGATGAAGTCGTTATTGCTATCCTTCTTAAAGAAGAGTTACTGACACTTAAACACTTTGGATTTAATGTCATACGCCTTAACCTTCCACAATATTTTTATTTTTTAAGTTGTTGACTGTAAACCGAATTTTTTCTTAATTAAATTTATATCCTGCATTTTTACTTTGTTGTGACCAAAAAGGAAAATACAGCTAGAACAGTCAGTAAATATAAAACACTATGTGCATACAAGCGGTGCTCTTTAAAAAAAATAATAATAAAACAACCATTAAAAGCAGATCAAATGGATCATCAGACGAAAGACCTTCAGAGGCTATAATAAACAGTACCAAGAAGGTAAAGGATCTGATTTGGAGTGGGATCTCAGCATTGGAAATTAGCATAATTAATTAGAGTTAAGTCCTATACCATGTTTAAAAAAATACACCTAGATGGATCAATTTTTGGCTATATAAACTGCAAGAATGAGAGCCATTTTTCAACTGAATGTTTGTTATTCCTAAAGTAAAGAAATTAGTATTTTTCCTAATAATTTTAGATTGGCTGCTGTCTGGTCAACATACAGGATGTCATTTATCTACCTAATAAAAATGAAACCAACTACTTTTCAAATGTTGATGGTTGTGACATTATCTATATATCCCATCAAACTCTTTTTATCAACAAAATTTAAAATGTGATAATAGGTAAGCATAAAAAATATATTAAGCCTGTGCTATTTTGGCAGCCTCAACAATCCTACTGATTTCAAAGTAGAGCTTTCTAGTTTAAAGAATCAAAAGGCAATCACTCTTCAGGTGGAAAGTGGCCCACATTGGAGCCATGAAACTCCATGGTTCCAATTTCCGCATCATTTTGCACATTCCTGTTTTCACTGAACTCAACATGCATGCGTGAAATTGGCTGGATAATAAGACCTCAGGAGGTTTAACTTTCAGGATTTCCTAATCACCATTTTGAAAGAGAAAGTCATGTTCTCTTCTAATAAGTGGGAGTGTCTCTTGGAGTGTAACAAGAACACTGATTATGAAAAGAAAGAAAGAAAGAAAGAAAGAAAGAAAGAAAGAAAGAAAGAAAGAAAGAAAGAAAGAAAGAAAGAAAGAAAGAAAGAAAGAAAGAACAGACAATTCCAGCTATTCTATTTGTAAAGAAGGCATGCTCTTATATACATTTCAACTTATACTCTCATCACTTGCACATAATACTGAAACAAGAATCCTATTTTAATAGACAAAAATATGCAAAAGCATCACATATTCAAGCTTTGTCCCTACTTGGTGTGAGTTATATCAGCACATTTAAAAAAAAAAAAACAGTTCCCAAGAGATGCAAATCAAGCACAACTTTTAAGTGACTGTAAACAAGCCTGAATTCATAAAATAACTTGAAATCTTATATTATTTCTGCATTCATACTACATAGTTTGCAATTAATTTATAAGCTTTTTTGTTTGCCCTAGTAAAGGTGCTTTACATCTATGCTCTAAAGAACCTTTTACCCAAAACAATAGAAAATCTGGTGAATGGGCATTCTCTTCATTTTTAGAACGAAGAGGATCACCCACTGCTTTAAATCTCATATTCCTGTATGTAACATGGTATCCAATCACTAATTCATTCAGTCTGCAATTTTCATTTAGAATCTGAATTTAAAGTACAGTTGTATTAGTTATTATATTTAGTATATCTTTTATCATTTGTTTCACATCTTGTTTTTATACCACTGTGCCCAATAAGAGTTCTGGAGAATTCAAGACATTGCACTCTGTGTTATCTTTGACCACTGTCCAACTGTACAAAATGCAGACTGCAGAAAAGTTACAGCATGAAAGCAATATCTTTTGCCATGGATGGGGGCTGGGATCAGATCTGGTTCTTAAGGAATCCACAGGGAGTCACAATTAAAACAGAAGTTGGCATGTTCAGATTAAAACCATCATTTTTCTTAAAGCCTACATGCTTTACTTTAATAAACTGATTCTACCCCTCCTCCTCCTCCAAACTTAATCAATCTTAAAATAATTAAGCTTATATTTTAACTTAATTACCAAAAACCTGCAGCAACTGACTGGACTATGAGAACTTAATCGTTTCAGGGATCACATACTGTGTACATTTGGCTTACAGAAGCAGCATCAGAAACCTATGTCTGCCTCTAAACTCTGAAATAAAAATCAGCTCTTGATTTTTGGATCAGGGACAAGCAATTTGTAAACCATGGGCTGCTTACTATATCCCCAGGCTCATTCTGATGAACCCTGGAGCCAATTCAAATTATGTTCCTGAAATTGGTGGGAAAATATTAGGTTCAGTGGCAGCCAAGGAAACAGGTATGTTTAATTCCCCTAAAAGGGCAGGGAGAGAAAAAGGTGAACATTTAGCTCATCCTGTCTAGTGATGACATTTTATTTCCACCTTGTTCTCTGAGATTCTCAGAAACCAAAAATAATGCTATTCTGGTGCTACAGTCAGTAATAAGTAAACAAAATAGAATTCTCAGTGCACCATGCACATAACAAAGATTACATAGAAATAAGGAAAACTGAGAAGGAAAAAAGCCCACCAAATTGATATGACCAACCATATATAATTAAATATATCCTGAGGCATCCATGAACAACTTCTCATATTGGTAGGAACTAATACATGCCACTGACTACTACTAAAAGCTTGTGACAGGCAAGGCATAAGATGTTTCTCTTTAAGATAAATGCCTTTAGGTACTTCTTAGCAGAAATGCCCTATGATCAAAACATTAACTGATACTGATATAGGATTTATAACCAAGGAAAAAGAAGACCATTCTAAGATACACTTTATATACTATTAATGACATTATGTTTAGCCTAGATTTGACTCTGCATTGTGTTTACTGTTTAAAGGTATCCATAACCCAGTTTAAAAGCTGTATTCAATGGACATCTGCAAGCATGTTCATCATAGTCATCTGTTTTCATTTAAAGTACTTAAAGATGGGATTAATAAATTAGATTGCAACTAAATATGGAGATTGGATTTGGAAGGACAGGATTAGCAAGGTAACAGTGTGGGGGAAAAAAGAATATGAGCTGAAATTAGACTGTTTTGAGTAGACAAGAAAAAAAAAGGAAAGTCAGCAAAGATGGCTTCAAAGTTAGGTAAGAACATGAGTTTTATAAATAATAAGTTATTTACTGATATCTTATATTTTCTTTTACATCAATTCAAATTGCTCACTTTTTAAAAAAATACAGGAAATATTATTATTAAAACTCAGATTGGAAAATAAACTTCAATAAGGATGAACTGAAAGCAACAAGCTCAAAGCAGCACCACTAGAAAGAGCACAAATGAAAAATCAGGAAAAGATATTGGAAGAATTTGACATGGAGGTAAGAGATTCTATCATTAAACTTTACAAATATGTCAGGGGAAAGAAGAAAGTTTCATGGATTAGCAAGAACTAAAAAAATTATAAACTGCCTAATAACAAAGTCAGTCTAAAAATGAGTAGCAGTAGTAGTATACTTTATTGATTAGTCATATGACCATAAAAATGAGGATGACTGCACCAAAGACCTTGAGATATGCCACTTTCTCTGGAATAACAGTATAAACAAAATTATAGACAAGATATTAACCACATTTAATAAGCTATTTTCTAGAAAAATATCCCTCAATTTCAACTTGTTTCATAAAGAGAGCTGATTTCCATAACTTAGAGTTATCTTAACAAAAATTTCATCACATATTTGTAGTTTGTCTAGATTGCTTGAGTCATTTGGCATTTGCATACAGCATTCTTTCATTTCTTCTTTTAAAAGTTTCTTGTTTTACTGGGCTTATAGGCTGCTCCAATTGCAAAACAATTCTGTGACATGCATCCCAGTCTCCCTAAATCACAGTAAAAACAATACAATAAAAAATGCATATCAATGATATCAAATAAACACACATTACCGAAAACATCAATAAAATTAATCGGTTCAGTCT